GTGGTACACAAAAGTGCACCTTACATGGATGGTATCTTAGATTTGACGAAATGTGGTATTGTCATTGAGAAGCTGGGCCTCAGCTTGGAATTGGGGGGCCACTCCAATGCCTTCCTTCCCCCCATTTCCACTCGAAGACATGTAGCTTCTGTCTCCCAGCATCTCTAGTCTCCGCTGCCTCAGCTCAGCTGGGTGTCTCTGCTCCTGCCCTAAATGGCAGCCCATCTTCCACGAGCATCAGAGCTTCTGTGGCGTGGAGAGTACCGCTCGCCTACCCGCTTGCTTAAAACGCTTTGCTTCTCCAATGCCTAGAGGGTAGAGTCCAGACCCCTCACTCAAGCTGCTCCATGCCACTGAGCCTTTGCAGATGCTGTTCCCTCTGCCTGGAAGACACTTCCTCCGCTGGCTGCCCCTCGTCCTCCTGGCTACCTTCCAGCCATCGTACAGCCTCAGCTGAGAAAGCTTCCCCAATTTCTGCCCAGCCCTGAGCCCCCAGGCAAAGTTGCTCCCCCTTCTTGGTCCCCAACCTCCCAAGACTTTGTCTGCCCCTGGGTTGTTGCTTTCACCAGGCCTGCCCCCCATTCACCTGTGTGTCCCAAGCAGGGAGGCTGGGATACTGAAAGAGAAATTCTGGAAACAAGCAGGGGTTTTGCTGTGAGGTCAGCCTGGGTTTGAAACCCAGCTCCACCCTTCCTACCTGTCACCAGCTACCTCTTCAAGCCTTCGTCGGTCAGCTGAATGGGAATCCTTGTCTGGCTGTTGAAAGGATTCATGAGGTGATGTACGTGAAGAATCAGGCACGTGCCATATACTCAAATTCACCGACTGAGCGAATGAACAGATGGTTTGCAATTGTCCCACGTCCCTTCTGTCACACCAGACCCCAAGCTCTAGGCGGCCAGGACTGTGGCTCCCTCTAGCTCCCACACCCTGCTAGGCGCATAGTAGGTGCCCATTTCATACCTACTGTTGGAGATCAACATCAGCAAGAGGGAGGAGGCTGAGGATCAGGTCGGGGCTTGCTGCGGGGCAGGGAGAGCCTGGTGATGTGCTCAGGGCTCCAGGGAAGGGGACAGAAGCATGGGTGGTTGGGCAGCCTTTATCTCACCTGCTTACTTCCCGCTCTGCACCTCCGAAGAGCCAGGAATGCGGTAAGTGCATAATCAACGTCTGTTCAATAGTGCAGGGGCTTCAGGCTTAGACAGACCCGGGTCTGATTTTCAATCTAGCCGTGTGGCTTGCTGCGTGGCTTAACCTGGCTGAGCCCGTTTCCTCACCTGTATATTAGCAATGCCAACGCCTGCCACGTAGAGTTACAGAGAGGATTAAAAGGGAAGCAAACTTTCCATAATCATGTCAGCCCCAGGCCACCTGTGCTCCTCGGCAACCTTGCAAGGTGGGTGCTGTTACCCCGATTTTACAAGTGACGGGATGGAGGCTTGAGTGCTAGTACCTTGCCTTGAGTCCCAGGGAGGCCACTTCAGAGCTTCCCAACCCCTGTCCAACTTGGCCCAGTGGGGTGATGCTGGCACCGCCTCTGGGAGATAGGGGACCAGAGGAGGAACAGCAGAGAGGAAGGGGGGAGTCGCGAGTGGGGTTTTGGCCAGGTGAGGTCGAGGACCTGATCTTCTCTGTCCGAGAGTTGCCACTGTGGCAGGGCCGCAGGTGGAGATGAGGCATGTCACCCAGTCCCAGGATTGGTGAAGTCAGGCTCTGGGAACAGGGCTGGGCCGAGTCTGGGACCACAGCGCTAGCAGGAGGCAGGCTCGCACCAAAGGGAGATGTCAGAACCATGTGCCATGGTGAGGTGGGTCAGCAGCGAGCAGGGCCGGACGTCCGAACGGGGGGAGGGGGGCGGGGGGGGCAGACCTGGACCCCAGGCAGGCCCCAAGGTCGGGGGCCTGAGGCTTGTCCCCCAGCCCCTGCTGTCCCCGGAGCCCACCTGTCTTCTCTGTCGCACGCAGTCCAACCCCGACTCCCGTGCAGGAATCAGGCCCTCGGTTGCTATAACAACTGGATCCCAGCCGTAAAAATAGTAACTTGTTTTTTATTCAACTTCTGTTGCTCTTGGAGGAAAAGAAAATCCATTTCTAGGCTTGTGTTTCCTTTCGGGGGTCTCCTCCAGGGCCCTGCTGAGCCCACAGCCAAGAGCTGCTTGAAGGTCGACCGCAGGTGGGGGCCAGGAGGAGGCCAGTGGACCAGGACCCAGGGGAGGCCCAGGAACCTGGGGGAGGCCCAGGAGCTGGGGGAGGCCCAGGAGCCGGGGGAGGCCCAGGAACCTGGGGGAGGCCCAGGAGCTGGGGGAGGCCCAGGAACTGGGGGGAGGCCCAGGAGCTGGGGGAGGCCCAGGAACCTGGGGGAGGCCCAGGAGCTGGGGGAGGCCTAGGAACCTGGGGGAGGCCCAGGAGTTGGGGGGGGGCCCAGGAACCTGGGGGAGGCCCAGGAGCTGGGGAGGCCCAGGAGCCCGGGGAGGCCCAGGAGCCCGGGGGAGGCCCAGGCCACCTCTCTGTGTGTCTCTGCTCGGCCTCTGGGGAGCTGTGGTTACCGGCAGACCCCCCGAGCCTGGCCTGGCCACCCCAGAAAGTGTGGGGCTCTCACCTTTGAAAAGCCAGCAGGGCCCTTTTTCTGGAAGCTGGGGTTGAGGGCTTTGGAGGAGGTCTGGCTTGTGCCTGGGACAGGTGTGTCCTGGTGCGGCTGACAGTGAGGCGGGGGGCAGAGTTTGGGGGTCAGAGCAATGGCGATGGAGGTCAAGGTCGGGAAAGAAGCCATGATATGCAGGGCTCGGCCTTACCTGACTCAGTTTGACTTTGGGCTCCTGGAGATCTAAGAACTCATTAGAACAGGGGTTTTGTGGTGGGCAGTAAGCTCAGAGCCTGCAGAGCTGGGTTTTGGGGCAGGTCCTGCTCCTCAGGCTGTGCGACCTTGGGACAGTGCCCTGGCCCCTCTCAGCCTCCCTTTCCTTCCTCTATATGACGGGACAGGAGGTGCTATAGCCACCACAGCTGTGAGCCTCACCCTTCTTTTTTTTTTTCGGTACGCGGGCATCTCACTGCTGTGGCCTCTCCCGTTGCGGAGCACAGGCTCCGGACACGCAGGCTCAGCGGCCATGGCTTATGGGCCCAGCCGCTCCGCGGCATGTGGGATCTTCCCGGACCGGGGCACGAACCCGTGTCCCCTGCATCGGCAGGCAGACTCTCAACCACCGCGCCACCAGGGAAGCCCTCCTCGTCCTTCTTAACCATGACTCCTAGTAAGAAATAGATCTTCCATCGCAACCAGGACCCAGATGTATACAAACAGAAGTTTCTTGAACGTGACGTGTTCTCACTGCATCTTTTTGACTTCACTTTGTTTTGAAATGCTGCTCACCACGCCCTAGGTTGACTCCGCGATCTTCTGGTGTCGTGCTGTCCCGTGGAACTTTCCACGATGCTGGCAATGGTCCGATAAGGTAGCCCCTTGAAATACGGCTAGTAACCAGGGCACTGAATTTTCAGTTTTATTTCGATGAACTCAACGTAGACGTAAGTAGTTGCACGAGGCTGGTGGTTATTGTATTGGAAGTCACAGCCCTAGCAAGTCCAGAGAGCAATTCGAAACCCACGGCGCTAAGGGATCTTTCCAGCTTGACCCACCCAGCCCCTCCTCACCGGCTGGGCTGGGACCCTGACAGACCCTCTGGCCCACGTGTCCATCCCTTGGCCTTCCACTCATGCCAACCTTGACCTCAAGTGCACTTGGCCAAAACCTGACTCATGATCTCCCCTACTCCTGTCACCGCCCCCCTCCCTAGGTGGCACCAGTACCCACCCAGCAGGGCCAGCCAGAAACCCAGGGGTCACCCCCCACTTCTAGTCCTCCATCAACAGGGTCTGGTGGATTTTTACCTCCTAAGCATCCCTGGATCGCTTCTCTTGACCATCCCACCCCCGGCCCTGCAGTGGCCTCTGAACGCATCTACCTGCAACCCTTCTGGTCCTCACCAATTCCAGGTGTGTGTGCCCACCGTGTGCCCAGCATCTGGAGTGCAGAAATGAATTTGATGGAGTCCTTTTGTCTTTCTCCTTCATCTTATTCTAGCTACCTTGGGGCAGAGGACGTGGGTGGGATTATTTTCTGACTGTGTAGTAGGATCTCAAATAAATCTTGTTATAAAAAGTAGCAGGGAGCTGGGGCTTGGGAAGGGAAGGGAGGGGAGGGAAGGAGGGGGAGGTGTGTGCGTGGGAAGGAGGGACCTGCCCTTCTGCTCGAGGACCTGTCTTTCCACATCAAAGGCTGTCCTGCCTTCCAGCAGCCCCCAGGGTGTCACCTCTTCCAGTAGGTGGCTTCGCATAGCGCATCGCCCACGCCAAGGTCCCCTAAAGGAGAAAGCTGAATTTTGTAAAGATGAGGGGCAGGGTTTGGGGGCTGGGGTGGTGGTGGGCACATCCTGGGTACCTGGCGACCAAATGCCCATATGCGTGTGCCCCTGTCTCAGGGTCGTGAGGGTCCCCAGAGTCACAGCCTCTGGGAATTAGGGGGTTCCCCAGAGGCTGCGCCATCCTCTTGGGGCCGTCGCACCTCGCAGGGACGCAAGGCGGGGGCGGAGGGGGGAGTGTGAGCTACAGGTAAGCTCTGGGGCCGGCCACGAGAGGGGCCGCAGGGCGGGCACGCGGGCAGGGTCCCAGCCCCCGCCGCGGGGGACAGCGGGGCTCCGTCTAACAGGCAGTCTTCTCGCAGGAAAAACTACGGGACGAGGGGGCCCGGGGAGCAAGGAAGAAGGGGCTGCTTTCGGAAGCTCCCCCTAGGCCTCCAGCCCTCCCCCAGGGTTCCCTTCCCGCAGCCAGGCTGGGAGGGGTCGGCCCCGCGCGGGGAGGGGGCCGGGGCTGCGGGGACTCAGGCGATTGGCCCGGAGTCCCCCCGCCCCGCCCGCCACCAGCTGCTCGGGATTTGGCGTCGGCGGCTCCGGGCTCGGCTCCAGCTCGGCTCCGCGCGCCCCAGGCCGCCCCCGCCCCGCGGCCGCCGACCTGCTGCTCCGGCGCCGCGGCCTCTTCAAGCTGCCGCGGTCGGGGCCCCGGGCTGGAGGCTGATGGAACCGCCGCGATGTTCGCTCCGCGGCTCCTGGATTTCCAGAAGACGAAATACGCGAGGTGAGCGGGGGTGGGGAGCGCGGGCGGCGGGTTTCTTCCCGCGCCGCCAGCGCGCTCCCCCAGCCGCCCCGAGGGTTCAGGGCGATACATGGACCCTGTCCCCGGCCGGAAGAAACCGGACACGAGACGTCGTGGTCTTTGTGAGTCTCCTCGCGCAGCTCTGCGCCCTGGACCCGGGAGGAGCGCCTCCGACTTAGCGTGGTGCCCTGGGGCGAGTCGCTTCACCTCTCTGAACCTCAATTTCCAGGTCTCAAAGGCGGGGATAATGAGAGTCCCCACCCCTGCGGTCCCTGCGAGGATTAAGTGAGATGATCCCTTGAAAGCACTTTGCACGGGCTCAATCGCTATTCTGCGCTTTTGTTAATGATAAAAGGCGTTGGCCCGCACCGCCCCAGCGAACCCCCGCCCACCCCTGACCGCCCTCATAGCAAGCAGGAGGAATGGGTAAGGAAACTGAGAAACAGGACCAGGACCTAAACATCTTGGCCTTTTCATAGTGGGAAGTCTGGTCCCACCTGAACCTCAGTTTCTTCTTCTAAAGTGGTGATTTCAGATTGCCAAGTGGAAGCCAAGGTCTTGTCGCTTTGATTCCCAATTAAGGGGCTGGGGGGAGGGGAGGGAATATTAAGTTCCTCTAAGATTTTGGCGGGGTGGGCTTACCTGAAAGCTGGATGAAAACCCTTTTCTAGGATTGCCCCTTCGCCCCCAGGAGTCTTGGGCGAGGACCCACTGCTCTGGGTGTGCAGCCTTAGGCGTCGGCCTCCTGCCCGGGGCGGGGGGGCGGGGAGCCCGCCTTCACCTGCTCTTACCCTCCCACCAGGCCTCCTGCCTCCGTGGGCGGAGTGGGCAGGTGGTGAGTTGAGCTGGGTTGACATCCTTTTTGCTGTCACACCTACACAGCTCATTGTCTCCTGGCAATTGTTGAGGGTCCCTGGTCCCATGAAGTCTCTACAAGTTGCTGTCAGATGGAGCACAGCTTGACCCCAGAGGCCGGGCTGAGCTCTGCTTCAGGGCGGGAAAGTGGGGAGGCAGGACTGGGTCCTTTCCCTCTCAGTCTCATCTCTGTTTCCTCTGGTGGGGGGGGCGTTGTGTCTCCTTCATGAAGTTGGGGAGTCCCGCTGGAAAGGGGTTGCTGGTGGGAAGGCCCGGAGGAATTCCTGTGGTGTTTCTGTTGGAGGGAAGGTGGGAGGGGCTGGCTGCACAAATCTGCGAGGTCTCGTCTGGTGTGGGAACTTGGACTTTCAGAGGATTGTTCTCGAGGGTCCTGTGTGCTGGTGTGAGATATAAGTTGGTGGAGTGTTCACTCGAAGGGAAGGGAGAAACCCGGGGCTGGAGACTTCAGATGCGGGGAAGGAGCTCTGTCCCACACCTGCTGTGTGACCTTGGGTAGGCGTCTCAACCTCTCTGGACCTCTACTGGTTAATCCGTTAGACAGGAGGGTTGGTCTAAATGATCTCTAGATTTTGACACTGGTGCTGCTCCCGCTGTAACTGGAATAGAGCTCTCCAGCTGGGCTGAGGGCTGGACCATGAACCATTTCTTTCATGCTTGGGCTGATGACCCTTCTACAGGTGATGAGTCCAGTGAGGAAATGGAATGCATTGATTAGAACTATTTCTGTTCCCTTCCTCCTTGTGTGGCCCTTACTACCGTCCAGTCCACATATTAGGTCCTTAATCAAGGCTTTGTGATCGAGTGAATTTAATAGTATGACCCAGACCTGTCCAACAGAAATAGCATGCAAGCCACAGAGGTAGTTTTAAATTTTCTCAGAGCCTTTCAGGTAAATGTGTGGCTAATTTCCCATCTCACTGTCATAAGAAGGTGAAAAGAAACAGGTGAAATCAATTACGAGAATATATTTTAGTTAACACCTTATATCCAAAGGATATTCAATATGTAATCAATATAAACAAATTATTCATAAGATATTTTACAGTTTATTTTCAACCACAAGTCTTCAAAATCTGATGTGTTTTATACTTACAGCCCATCCCAATTTGAACTAGCTATATTTCAAGTGCTCAGTAAACACATGTGGTCAGTGATTGTCATTATTGAACAGGACAGGAATGTCCTCCAGGGTGAGAGATGGGTGTTTGTCTTAGTTCTTTCAGGCTGCCATAACAAAGTACCATAGACTGGATGCCTTATAAACAGCAGAAAAGTATTTCTCACAGTTCTAGAGGCTGGAGGTCTGAGATCAGGGTGCCAGCAAGGTCGGGTTCTGGTGAGGGCCCTCTTCCAGGTTACAGACTGCCAACTTCTTGTATCCTCATAGGTGACAAAGAGACGGAGCTAGCTCTTTGGCTTCTTCGTATAAGGGCAGTAATTCCATTCATGAGGGCGTCACCCTTATGACCTAATTATGCCCAAGGGTTCTACCTCCAAATGTCATCACACTGAGGGTTAGATTTCAACCTACGAATTTTTTTTTTGGAGGGGGGACACAAACATTCTGCTCTTAACACTGCTCCTGTGTGACGTTGCAAAAGATGCTTTCCGTCTCTGAGCCTCTGTTTCTCAGTGGGTGGTTGTACCAACTGATCTTTAAGGTTCTCATCTCGAGTCCTTGAATGGTTTATCTACATCCAGAAACATACTTATCATCAAGCTATAGGAACTAAAGACTGTAGTGTTGGTTCAGGGCTAGGCAAATTGACCAATGGAACAGAACAGAGAGGCCAGAAACAGATTCATGTATATAAAGGCATTTGACTTTTGACAAAGGCTGCCTTGCTGATCAACCCAGTTAAGGATGGTCTATTGAATAAATGGTACTGAGACAATAATCCAGATGGAAACAACGAAACTGGAGTCCTACCTCAAACCATACAGAAAAAGCATTTCTAGATGGATTAAAGATTTGCAAGTGAAATTAAAAAAAAAAGTTGAAAACTTTTTGAAAATTTGAAACAATATCTTTTGGATATCATGCTAGGTAAAGATTTCTGAAGGCACAAAAAGTTCAAACCATAAAAGATTGATAAACTCAACTACATTAAAAATTATGAATTTTTATTTACCACAAAATGCCAGGAAGACAAGAGAAGACAAGCCACGAACTTGAAGGACATATTTGCATTTGCAACATATTTAACCAACAAGTAATTAATATCCAGAGTCAGGAACTCCCTGGAGGTCCAGTGGTTAGGACTCAGTGCTTTCACTGCAGGGGGCATGGGTTCAGTCCCTAGTCGGGGGACTAAGATCCCAAAAACTGCACGGCACGGCCAAAAAAAAAAATTAAATAAATAATAATATCCAGAATCTATAAAGAACCACAATAAGGAAAAGACAGCCCAATAGAAAATGTAAAAGGAGAGTCATTGCAGGAAGGGAGAACACAGATGAGCCATAAACATGTGAACAGCTGCTCGCTGGCGTTGGTGATCGAGGAAATGCGAAATAAGAGTCCATGGGACGCCATTCTTGTATTCAATATATGAGAAGTCTGACACTACTATTATAACTACTTTGGAAAACAGAAATTACCATGTAAACTTGGACATGGCCACTCTCTTCTGGGTGTGTGCGCTAGAGAAATTCTGCACATGTGTGCCGGGGGAGTTGGCCCAGGATCTTCTCAGCAGCACTGTTCAAGGTAAGCGAGAGCTGGAATCAGCCCAGAGGTCCACGTTGATGGAACAGTATGTATCCGTGCAACGGAGTAGTAATCCTGCAAAGGAAAACAAGCCCAGTCCCAGGCAACGTACGGATGAATCTCACAGACGTGTTTGAACAGTAGCAAAACACAGAAAAAAGCATGACTCCAGTCACGTAACACTCAAATCCCAGTAAACTGTGTCGTTTAGGAATGCAGAGAAAAGTACGTGAAAAGTGAGACAACGATGATTCCAAAATCAGGTTAGTGGCTACCTGTAAGGGAGGGAGGGAAAGATACACAGGGTGCTTGTGGGTCCTTGTAATTCTTAACTTGAGAAGAAAAATAAACTGGGTTCTGCGTGTCCTAGAAGGCAGCGAGGTCTCACGTTTCCTGGGTGAGCCCCACGTGGCGCCACGTCACTGCAAGGAAGCTGGGAAGTGTAGTCCACCTGTCTGTCTGTGCCCCCTGCTGCTTCCATGTCCAGAACAGCACCTGGCACCTGAGCAGTTACCCATCAAAATCCGTTGCATAATACTGGCTGTGTGACTTTGAATGAGCGAATTAACCTCTGAAGACATAGGTGCCCTCTTTGGCTTAATGCGATGTGACCTTAAACGTGGGCCATTGTAAAATAACATTATGGTTATAAATGTAACACATGCTCCTTGGAACAAAGTTTTTAAATTATGGGAAGTAGGTATAAAGATGAAAGCAGCAGACCTTTAATCCCATGGTCTGGAGATCATCACTGTTAAATGTGTTGACTTTTCTTCCAGGCTTTTTCTGTAGATACTCTATAGCTAGCGTTGTATTCTAATTTTTGAAAATTGACCTGCCATAATCCCGTCTCCTTTGTCTTTCATAATGGCTTGCAACCTCAGCTTAAAGGGGGCTTTTGCTTAATATTCCATCTCGTCATCACACCCTGCTTTATTTTATTATTTCCCACTTTTGGACACTCAAGTTGCTTTCTGGATTCCGCTTCTGTGCACAACGCTGCAGGAGCATCTCTGCAGCACATACCTGATCCATTGTCAGTTCTGGGTATTGGCCTGGTGCTGTGGGTCACCAGGTCCATGTGAGGCTCACCGACGGCCCAGACTATAATGACTTGGTTGGGGACCTGCCCCCTCCCCTCTCGCAGCGCAGTTCCCGCCATGGTGTTTGGAGCTGCTCCTAAGGCCAAAGATTGGGTCCCTTGGGCTTCTCTGGTGGTGCAGGTGGTTGAGAGTCCGCCTGCCGATGCAGGGGGCGCGGGTTCGTGCCCCGGTCCGGGAGGATCCCACATGCCGTGGAGCGGCTGGGCCCGTGAGCCATGGCTGCTGAGCCTGCACGTCTGGAGCCTGTGCTCCGCAACGGGAGAGGCCACAACAGTGAGAGGCCCGTGTACCAC